TCCAGCCGGTCGGGGTCTCCAGCAGGTACCCACCGGCGGCGTCGGGGCCCTCGAAGCTGTGGTTGACAATCGGTATCGAGACCGCCGATGCCGACGCCCCGAGCAGCAGCAGGCACGCCAGGGCCACGGCGCCGTGGCTCGCGGATGGATGCGAATGACTCGTCGAACGGGTCATGGAAAGTTTCTCCCTAGTTGGTCTTGCGACAAGTGAGGCCCGCCGGCGCGTCGCTCCCGCGATTCGCCGGCGAGTGCTCTTGGTTAGCGTCGGTTGAGTAAGGTCGTAACAAGCGAAGCGGCGACAGCGATCATCGCCCCGCTCGGCTCGGGGAGCGCGTTCGCCGTGACACGAACGTTGTCAACGTTCACACGGTTGCCGCTGTCGCCGAGGACACGGAGGAAGACCGCGACATTGCCGCTGGGGACGACGGGACCCGTCGTGAAGGTGTACACGTCGCCGAGCGCGCCGGACCCGATGGCAGCGAGGACCGAAGCGTCTCGCTGCGTATTCCAAAGGTTGTCCCCGTCCGGGTTGCCGCTGCCGTCCCAGACGCCCTGGATATCGGCGAAGCCCGGCGTGGCGAGGTCGACGCCGATCGCGTTGCTGTCGTACAGCCCGAACTCCAGGGTGCTGTGGGTGAAGGTTTCGCGGTGGGCAGAGGCGACGTCCACGGTATAGGTCGTGTTGGGGGCGAAAGCCACGCCGAGGTCTTGATGCACCTCGCCACCCTCGAAGCCGAAGTATTGCAGACCCTCACCGCCGGTGAATCCCACCGCCGCGCTGTTCTCGATGAATGGGTTGCCGGAGGAGGCGTCGGTCCAACCGGTCGGCACGCCAGCGGCGAATGAGCCGCCAACGTCGGGGTCTTCGAAGCTGTGGTTGAACACGGGGATGCTCGCAGCAACGGCGGAGGCGCTCGCCATCCCCAGTCCGATCAAGACAGCCGCTCCTGCCAAGACGTGTCGGTAACGTTTCATTAGTTCGCTCTCGGTGGTGTGGAATCTCATGGGTCGGATATCGCGGCGCCTTTCTCTCGTCCGTCGTGAAGCCCTCAACTAGCTTGGTCCCCCTAGCGTCGGCGTTGGCCAGTCGCCCGTCCAAGGGCGCCGGCCAGCAGCAGCACAAGGCCCGTCGGCTCGGGGACGGCCTCGGCGCTAGACGTCGATGTGGCCGCGGTTGCGCCATAGCGGCTCGCCCAAAAGTCGTAGTCGGCTTGGTCCACCACGCCGGGGCTGATGCCGCCTTCGTTCGGCAGACTGCCGGGGCCGAGGTTGTCCCGCCAGACGGTGTAGTCCGCGGCGTTGACGACGCCGTCGTTGTTGTAGTCGCCGGGGACGCTGACGATTTCGGGGATCGGCCCGTACTCGACGACCCCGGTGCGTACCTCTTCGACGCCATCGACCATAAGGAGGAACTCCAACTCGAGATCACGGACCCCGTCGAGCGAGAACATCTGCCCAAGCGAGAACGCCTGACCCGGGAAGAGCGTCGCCACGCCGTCTGGCACGAGTTCGGACAACGCGAAGCTGGCGTTGGCTGCGGGCGCGGCCTCGTCCCAATCGCCGACGGCCTGCGATTCGAGGCTTGTCCAATTGTCGCCGTCGAGCGAACCGAAGTCCGAGAGTATCGAGTAACCGACTAGGTCGATGGTGAACCGCGAGCCGTTCTGCAGCTGCGCGTCGCCCGTGACGGGGTCAACTGTGAGCAGGAGGTTGTTGGCGGCGGCCGTGCCGGTGTATTCGACCAGACCCTGCACAGCCGTTGTCGCGCCGTCCACCGCGTATTCGAACGTCACCTCATTCGGGGCGGCGCCAAACTCCTGCGGCGAGACATAGACGTTGCCCAGCTGGATCGCCGTGCCGGTGAGGGCTAGCGAGCCTTGCGAGTTCAATTCACTGAGCGACTGCGGAGACGGCGCCGTCTCTTCCCAGCCGGCGACCGATTGCTCGGTCATACTCGTCCAACCGGCCGGGTTGAGCCCACCGCTGTCTGACAGAACCGAGTAGCCGATGATGTCGATCGGGGTCCCGCTCGCATTCATCATCGTGACGGCGCCGGTGTTCGTGTTGACCTCGAGCGAGGCGTAACGGTCGTAGGAGAGTTCGAGAACTTTGCCGTTGCCGCCATCGCTGACCCGGGTGCGGTAAGCGTGCCCCGCCGGGACGGGCGAGAGCGCCGTATCGACAACGAACCCCGCGCCGGTGATCGCGCCGCCGTCGAGAATCGTCCACGAATCCCCCGCCGTGGGCGTGTAGCCGGCCGACGTTTGAATCGAGAGTAAGCCCTGCAAGTTGTTGATCCCCCCCGGCGTTGTGAGCGTCGTGTGGGTGTCGGCTTGCAGATCGACGATGTACTGACTGCTGCCTTCGAAGTCGATGAACCCGTCCGCCGAGAAGACATGCCCCGGGCCGTGCGTGATCGTGAAGCCGTTGAGGTACATCGAGTCGGTAGAGACGACGGAGGCCACCCCCGCGCCCCCGCCGATCTCCACGGTGCTGCCGGCATTGACGTCGAGCGACGTCGTCGAGAACGCGCCGCCGCTCTGGACCCGGAGCGTGCCCCTGCCGTCGAGCCCGATGTTCGCCACGCCGACCGGCGGGACGAGCGCCGGCGCGGCGACTTTCTCGATCAGGTTGAGCGAGCCCCCCGGCTG